GATATTTTTCACTCATACTCTACATGAGATGGCTCATTTGACAAATAATTWCTCTGTTGATACAACTGTCTCTTTYAGGCAATTGGCCTTGTGCTGGGTGTTTGAGGATCTGTTGATACAACTGTTTCTTTCAGGTAATTGAAAAAGTGTTGTGTGTTTAAGCATGGGTGGAGATAATTTTCCCATTTTTCTCCTGTGTCTGGAAACTGAAACAAAGGCTGGTTTTGGTCATCATACTCRCATCCTTCATTTCTCATATTCAGTGCCTGGTATGAGGTACTTTATTATATATCAAATATGTATTTAAAATTGCTCTCGTACCATAGGATTTTTATTTCAAGCATTAAACCTCCTTTAGGTTTTTTCTTATCTAAAACTCTGTCCCTTGGACCCAATACTTTTGGACAGCAGTAGTGTTTAAGCTAACATGAAGCACAAGTGGATTTACTGGCATATGAAACGCCTGATGTGTTAAGGGAGGGAGCCTGTCAACTCACTCTACWGGTACAGCTGAGGCTGGCTGAGTTTATTCACCTCCACTCGTATTTTTGGGTGGAATTGGATGGCTTTTAGCAGGAATGTGTCAACAGGGATAAGGGAGGAGCAAATACTGCGGAAAAGAAGAGTCAGATTTTGGTAAGTTGAACATTTGAAAGTTGACAGGCTTCATCTTCCTCATCAGTGCTGGATGATGGAAGCAGGGGGCTGAGAGACTTCATTGTAAGGCCCAACACTTTTTAACTAAAGCCACTATTGAAAATATTCATCACTTAGTGGTGGGAGGGAGAGAAACCTCCTGCGCCTTCTCTGCACATTGCAGGGAAGCTGAAAAGGCTGCATATCTATTTTGTCTTCTCCCACACAGGCCAGCTTCGAAGCAAGGTGTAAGATCTCTGAAACACCCCCTGCCACTTCGATTCATGACCAAAGTTTGTCTCTATCAACTTTCAAAACTTAAAAGGTTAATTATAGCAAACAGCCTGGCTTAGTATATTAATCACCTGSAGGAACAGCATCAGGATTTTGACACGATGGCTGCAGTTTGCCAGGATTTTTTCACGTAAGAAGTTTTTTTCCAGAGAACAACAGGAAGTGAGAAACCCAGGGATTGTCAGTTCTGTACTCTCCCRAATCAGAGTGAGGATCAGAGCAAGGCACATAAAGTAATTTAAGAAGGGTGAGTGTAGTATAGGATGTTGTATACCGAARTATCCAGCTGCAGGGTGATTGCTCCCCAAAGCAACCCTGCAGACCAGTTCCTCTAAATCTACCATGAGGATGCAGTGAAATRGATAAGGATTATCAAAGGAGGCCCCAACCAGATTATAATATTGACTAATAATATTTTTACTAATCTCACTGAGATTTGCATTTCACTCCATGTGTCAAAATGTGCCTTTGCTTAACTATAGCAATTGTTATGACTTCAGAGTATGCGTCCTAAAATCTTTACAGGGAAGTGCTGGTGGATGCTCTATTAGAGACTATTCAGAAAAAGTAAAAACATTTTTGAACTCCCCTGCTGGTAGGCAGTACTGAGTGGATTATTCCCCAGAAGAAAAACCCAGGTAAGTTTCTTATTGATGGGGCTGCTTTGCACCCTCTTCAATGGCAAGAAGCACCTTTCTAGGCAAAGGATGGAGGCTTTTGGGGCATCTTCCATCCTCCAAACACTTGGATGTGCTCAGGTCCCCTCCAGTTGTCCAACCTTGTCTGTCAGCTTAGGAGCAGGAAAGCTGAGCCCTGGGAGGAGGGTTTGCTGGGGCTGTGCACGATATTTCAGCCTCTCTCAGTTCCTGGTATTTGGAGTGGGACAAAGACAGGTCTCACTGAGWAACTACAGCAGGTGAGGGGGAAAATCATTATTGTCCTGTAGCTGCGCTGCTTCTCTTTCGAGAGGTGCTGCTTTCAGCTGCTCCCTCTGGCTGTCTGCTTTTGCCCTCTTCTGAAAAACCATGGTGTTGCAGGGGAGAARGCACCCTTGTCTCTCTGGGCTGTGCCCAGTGCCACCACACAGCCAAGAAAACCTCAGAGAAGAGCAATTGGTGATGGACACCACTGGCCCCCTCAGCTCAGACAGCATCTGTACCYGAAAACATGTATTTCAAAACTGAAATGGTTCTTCAAAGCTCACCATTGGTTTTYAGACTTCTTTTAAAAACTATTTGAGCAGTTCTTTGCAACCTTGCTGGCCTGAAACAGCCGCATATATCCATACTCAGTTGGCCATATGTCCACAATTAGCATTTCTAAGAGTAGCTGGGATTTTTAGGAACAATTTTTTTTTTTTTGTTCAGTATTTTTTTGCTCTAGAAAGTATATATCCCTCCTCATTTGGGTTCACTCACAGGGTGGGATGGAAGACCTTAAATCACTTCAGCAACAGCCTCTGAAACGTGAAAAAACACCTGTAGATAAATCATCGCTGCCCTTGATTAAAAAACCAAAAACCAGCACATGGAGAATGATGTAAAGGTATATTTATTTAAAATCGAAATTGACTCTTTTCTCAAAAACACACAGTTCAGCAGAGCCAAAAAGCAAAGGACAACAGAGGAACAGCTGGTGGCCACGTCTAGCTCAGGTGAGGGTGTCACCCAGGTGCCAGTGTCACCCTGCTAACCCCCACCCTGCCAGCCTTTATCTGCTCACCCTTCATTGGAAGAAAAAAACAGCTCCTCACTTTGCTCCAATACTCCGGTAAAACCCTTTCCTTGGGAAACTTGCAGGTTTTATGTTCAGTGGCCACTTGTACTATTTGGCGGTGAGTTTTGAAAGAGCAGAGCTAGGCACCACTGTGGTGCTGAGCAGGGGGTTCAGGGTGTGCATGCCAAAGTACTGTATTCTCCCAGATGTAGAGCCAGAGTCATGACACAAAAAAAATCTGGGTGCTTTAGCAGCAGCTGTGCAAGGAGTTAATGCTGGTTTATAGATATATACCATTTACACCTCAACTAGCCAGTTCTACACCTGGCCTTGCCATTCAAGCAGGGATTCCCARGACCTCAGGGAAGCAGTGGGACAAGAGGGCAGCAGTGCCCACGCCAGCATCAGGCAGAGCTGGGCATCATTCAACAGGCACAAAACATTCCCAGCTACAGGCTTYTTATTCCACTAGATGGTGCTCAGCCCTGGTTTAAGGATGTTGCTTGGACAAGGGTATGGTCAGGATTGAGGATGGAGGTGCCCGAGCACTCTGCCGGGGCCACAAACCTCTTAGTTCCAACCCTCAGTAGCAAGACCCCAAAACCACCCTCTTCATTTGCCAGGCAATCATGCCAAGCCCTAGATCCCTGGAGTATTGCCATAGTCCATCAGTCTTGGGGTGAGATGTGCTATGGCAATTCTGGGGTCAGTCTCCCAACCCAGGCTGGCAGCAGCCCCGCAGCACCTTTCACTCTGAGCCAGACGGGCCAGAAGAGGAGGTTCATGAGTCTTTGGGGGTCTTCTGCATGCTGCCCCAAGCCTGGAAAGCTGCAGGCAAATCCCTGCCACAGGCTGCCTAAATCTCTATTTCTCTGTAGCACTGGCACCAGGCTAAGTAGAGTGGCTTCTCCAGAGACACCAGGGCCTGATGCCCTGGTGGGGGCATAGTGGGCACACGCAATTTTTGATATTTTCTGCTGGAGAGCATGAGCAGTAGCAAAGCAGAGTCCCAAGAGCTAGTGCTGATAGCACCAGTTGAGACACACAGGGCTATTCTGGTCCTGGTGTTCAAGCATGAATGTATGTATGATCCCTAAGAACCAAGATGCCCCAARAAACTGTGGATGTTCCATACCCAGAAGGGTTCAAGGCCAAGCTGGATGGGGCTTTGAGCAGCCTGGTCTAGTGAGTGGCATCCCTGCCCACAGCAGGGGAGTTGGATCTAGATGAACTTTAAGGTCCCTTCCGACCAAAACCATCCTGTGATTATTTAACACATAACGGGATCTGCCACTCCCCTGTGTACAGGTGTTCAGAAGGCAGGGGAGCAGACACTCTGTGGTACTTCACTGACATTGTGGCTGCCTCTGGCTGCTCCCACTTCCTCCCAGCATGGGCACAGAACTGGTGGGGAAGCCCCTCAGCATGTGCTGATGCAGCACCTTTCTGCTGGAGGCTTGATGCTTCTCCCACTGTGCCATTCGCTCTGGTGTGCTGCTGAACACGCCTGCTTTAGCAGCTCCTCGGACAGAAAAAGCAACSTGCAATTGCATAAACAGTGATTAACTTTGGGCACCACGGACGGCATGGCTCCAGCGTGTCGAAGCCCAGCCTGGCTCRCGTGCAGGGGCCAGTGGCAGGAATGGCAGTGACACAACAGGAGTGTTACACTGCTCCTGGAGGAACAGCATGGCCAGGAAATGTACCRTCAGCAGGACATGATGGAGACTTCTCACTGCAGGAGATGGATGAGCGGAGAGGGAGGATGCTCTGTGGACCTCACCAACAGAGGTAGGGTTTGTTACCCCAAGGGAAGGATATGTGGAGCTTGTTGGCCCCACAGGTGATGGCCAGGCCAGGGATGTGCTGGGGCCAGAAATCCCCTTATGGCCAGGGACCAGCCCACCCCCAGCACACTGTTTGTGACAGAGCGCTACCCAAAGTCCCACCACAAACACCAGAGTCAGCAGATCCTCAGGTACAGAAATTACTTTATTTCTCCAGTAGGCTGGAATTGAAACCGCGAGGACAGAGGCTTTTTYTCACTGTACTTTACTTGCTTGGCATCAGTGCACAAACACCGCTACCCTATGCCGTGTAGCAGGGCTGCTGTTCCCTGGCTGTCTAGCACAGCACATCCGTGCATCCCTGCTGCTGTGCCACGTGCAGCCTCCCCCAAATTAACAGCAGATTGCATGAACCAGTGATTTTTGGCTCCTGGGCCGTGAAGCACCGTGTGCCCCCCAGCACCCTGCCCTTCACCCAGGCGAGAGCAGAGCCCGCGGCAGGGATGTGGGCATGTGGGACCCCCGAACCCCACCGTCAGAGCCTGCCGGGGTGGAAATGGCCGCGCCTCAGAGCGGGCCCTGGATCCAGCGGCCTTGGGGGTACCCKGGGGATCCCCACCCTGAGGGCCGCAGTCCCGTCTGTCCGCTCTCGCTGTGGCTGCCCCTCTCCCCCTCGGAGGACTGGCTGCTGTCGGCGCTGCCCAGCCCAGGGTAGGGGCCRTGGGGGCCGCCGCCTGCCCCGCCCAGGGTGTAGAAGGCCCGCTCTCGGACATGGAGCTCGTCGGCGCGTTTCACCTGGTCCAGCTGCCTGCTGCGGCCAAGCGCCGCGAACGTGCCCGGTGCCCCGGCCCCTGGCCTCCTGCCACGGTGTCCAGGCAGGCGGCTGCCCCCGGCCCCTGGCACTGCTGCCCCGCTCTGTCCGCCTCGCCCCCGTTCCTGCCCTCTGCCTCCTGCCATGCTGCCCGTGTCTTGCTCTACCTGTGGAGCGGGGCTGGCCCCTGCTTTGGTGACATGCCACCTCCCCCCATCGTCACCGTCATGGCCACCAACACTTGTCTGGGCCCCACTGGATGCCCAGCTGCCGGGTTTCCCACTTGCCGAGGGTTCTTTGTCAGTCCTGGGTGTCTTGTCCAGCCCTGCTCCCCCCGGGCGGCCCCATATCCCTGCCTCGGGCCGTCCCTCCACACGGGGTCTGGGGGTGGTTGTCCCCACTTCGCCGCTCGCTCCTCTGCCCAGCACAGTGCTCATGACTGCCCTGTGGCTGCTGGTTGTCACCGACGGGGTGGTGCGGCCCCTCTCGGTAGTGGCCGGGMGGATGGTGGCCCACTCGGCTGGGACAGTGACGGCAGCCCCCTTACCACCCCACTGGCGGGGGGTYGTGGCAGCCACATGGTCTGGCTCCCCCTTGTACTTCTGCCCCTCTCCTCTCACCTCATCATCATCTTTCCCTCGGATGCTGGGCACTGTCGGGATGGTAACGTCACCATCAGTGACTCTCCAGGGGACAGGGGTTACCAGTCGTCCATCAACACCAGTGGTGGTGGCACCTTCCTCGTCATCTCCAGTGGGGCGGCCATCCCTGGTGCTGCTGGTGACGCTGTCCCCACGRGTTGGGGTGGCTGTGGTGGCCGGTCCTTCAGGCTGCCTGCTAGCAGGGATGCTGTCATCGTCACCGCCACTGGGTGCCTCAGTGATGTGCAGCCAGGGGAGGGGGCTGCTGGTTCCCGCAGTGGAGGTGCCGTCATCCTCGCTGCCCTCTGTGGCACYAGCCTGGGTGGTTTCCTGCTCCCCCACGTGGATGTTTGCCTTCCCAATGAAGATGTTGACCTCATCATCCTTGTCCGGGGAGATCTGGGTGAAGCTGGTGGTGCCAGCTGTGCTGCCCAAGCTCCCACGGGTGATGGTGACGCTACCCGAGTCGGGAATGTAAGCGTATTCATCCACACCAGCAGCATCCACTTGGACATCTTCCATCTTCTTCTCCGTGACAGAGGCCAGGGTGACACCTCCCGTGCCTGTACCCCGCCTGACACCCTCCTGCCCTTGGCCAGAGACAGTGGCCTCCCCACTGCCCTCACCCCCTGGTCCTCTGGTGGTAGGGACCCTCCCCCTCTCAGTGGTCACAGCTCCCTCCGCTGGAACCACCCTGGGGACACCGTCATCCTTGTCCTCGCTCCTGCCATGGGACCTGTTCCCCACCACAACCTCACCGGGGCGTTCACCCTGAGGGAGAATGGGAACACCGCCATCAACTTCCACCACCAAATCCAGATCKCCGCTGCCCTCTGAGCTGGATGGGGTGGGACCTGCGTCACTGCCACCACCACCACGGGTTCCTGTGCCAGTGCCAGGGCGAACACTGGGACCATCACTGCCAATGCCTGGGGTGCTGCGGTTTTCAGGCTTGAAGATAATCCCATACTCGATCACTTCAGTGCTGCTGTTGTCACTGTGTTCTGGGGMCGTCCTGGTCTCCGGCAGCTCCCGCCTGGCATTGTCCTCATCCAGCCGGCGGCTGGGGAGGAYACTCTGGTGGTCAGCCTCTTCTTTCTGTGCAGTACACACAAGGGAGAGGTCAGGGCCAGCCCTGGTGATGGAACGGCTGCTGGGGGCACYGCAGCCAGGCCAGGGTCCTGCAGTGTCCCCATGCCACTTCCTCACCTTTATCTGTGTCTGGTTCCTCCGTGTTGAGAATGAGTAGACATATTTGAAAATGTAGAAGCCGTGCTTGGCATTACAGCCTTTGAGAAGTATCTGGTGGGTAAGAAAATAAGCAAAACACACCATTTTCTTATTAAATGCATTGGCAGGAGTTTCCCCTTCTGCCTGGCACTGCAGTAGGGTGCCACTAGTCCTGAGGATGTGGCAGAGGGATACATACCCGGTGCTGTCCCGCACAGTTCCCGGCAGCTCTYCCAGGCAGTGGCAGTGGCACCTGTGGGCACCAAAACACAGGAAAGAGCTGAGGCATCAAACACCATCCCAGCATCCAGGCAGCTACCAGTGCCCACTTCTGGCCACCCACCCTGCCCAATGCTCAGGGAAGGATGGGAAAACTGCATTGATAAGACCATAAATTCCCATTCACTACCTAGGGTGCTGACTTCAAGACAGCAATAGCAGGAAAGGTCAAAACCCCATTTCCAAGGTCTGAAAAGTACTGCCAATTCTGCTACAGCATGATGGTATTCCATGCTAGTTTTCATAGGGTATTGCTGGTCTGCAAATAACCTTTTCCAGGAGTCTGCTGCAGAGTATTTTATTGGAAAGCACTTTTAATACACTGGCTCCATGGCTCACATGGCCTGTACCAGAGTGGCTCACACCAGAATGGTCCAGATTACTGTTTGAATCTGCCTGTGATGGGAGCCTGGAACTGGTTAACTGGTAGTATTTCCCAGTATTTACTGGGCAACTGAGCAGCAACTTCTGTGCCCTCATGGCCAGGTTTCTGTACATGCTTGCAGGCTTCCTGCTCTCCCTGATTATCCTGGCATCCTTTGGGGGATACTGGCCAGTGCATCCCTCAGGGATGGGGTACCTGCTGGTAGGAGCGTCCTGTGAGCCCCAAAAAGCCACTTCAGGCATCCCCTACATGCCAGAGGGAGAGACGACTCCATGAAGGAGAGTACTCTTTGATTTCAGCAAAATTAGTCACTGAAACATCCCAAGCCCAACTGAAAGGGGCAGAAACATGCCGCAAAGTATTGAATATTCCCAGGTTGTTCCATTGTTTGTGAACAGTACCAAAGGCCAGATTACAGCTCTGGTTACACAGCATAGTATTAACTCTCCTCTGTGCCCCTATCTGAAAAGCAAATCTGTGCTGATTTATTGCCTTTCCTTGGGCTGCCCTGCTATAGACTCGGTCGTGAGAGCTTGCTCTGGGGGGTAAAAGATACATGGGAGTGGCCCACCCCATAGGGAAGACAGCATTTCCCTCCCCCTTATCCTGACAAAAAAAGCAAGCCTTTTCTAGGAACAGACTTTCACCCTAGCAGTGTATTTAGTATGCCGAGCAACAGTTATGGAGGACAAGAAAGGCTGCTATCATCTTCGTTTGCCCTTTTCTTAGTTACATCTGTGAAAATTTTACATTAGGAAAGTTGGAAAATAATTGTAGGCACCCTCTGACCCCTGTTACCCACACGGTTAAGATGAGCATACTTTCCACACCTCCCTTCCCGTGGCTCAGCTCAGGCTATTCCCGGGCCAAAAGCATTGGGCAGATCCCAGATCCAYGGAAATCAAGGGGAAGAGATACAACCACCCAGACGGGCTCTTGTGCAGTGCCCTGATTGCTAAACTGAAGGCACATGCTCAGCCATCTCCGTGCTAATAYATATTTTCCCTGCTGGGTTCACCTCTGCTGTTCACCTTAATCCCCTCCCCAAGCACCAGAGGTGGTGGATGCAACTACAGCTCATGTTTTCCTGCTGCTGAAAGCATGCCAGGATGGACTGGATGGAACACCTCATGCTTCCAGCAGCATRCAGGGAATCTGGGAAAAGCTATACTCACAGGTGTGGCAAAGACTGTGCTGAGCAGGCACAGGCAGACGAGGGCTGTTTGCATCTTGGGCTGCTCCTGGAGGCACAAAGMAAAGCATTGCTGGAGTTTGTCTTCYTAGGACTTGTGATCCTCAACAGTCCTGGTTAGCAGCAACATAAAAGCTCCTACTATCCCAAAGCTCCCATGGCAGCAGAGTTTTCAAGCAACCCTGATTTTTCCCAGGCTTTGTGATAGCCCTTGGCATTGCCCTGCCTCTCTGCGTTCCTTGCAGCAAGGGCATGTGCTTAGGGCACAGCCAGAAGCTCTGAGTGGGCACTCTGACACCAGCTATTAAAGCTCCCTAACTCCCTCTGTCAAAGCACCTTCCSCTTATATTTACAACAAACAATCCCCCAAAATTGCTGCAAGCAATTTACGTTTGTAAATCCGAATTAAGAAACTTGCAGGTTTTTACAGCACTGATAAATRGCAGGAGGCAATAGCTCTGTGGGCCAATAATCCTCATTTCACCCTACCACCCTGGCTTGGSCTTGCAGGGCTCCCAGAGACTCTCTTCAGCCATACGAGCACTGCTACAGGAAACATCAGAAGGAAATTCATGCCCAAGCATCAGAGTACAAAGCAATGTAAGCTCAAGAGATGTGCACAGCCAAGGACCAGGACGTCCCCATCCCCACCGTGACTTGCCTGGAGTGAAAGCAGGAGAAACCTTGCTCAGGGACAGCAGAGCTGAAGGACTAGAGAGAGACAAGGCAGGAAACTAGGAAAGAAGATTACCTTTCCCGTCGGAGGCAGGTCCCAGTGGCAGACCGTACAGCCTRTGCCCACCTTGCTGAAATTTAAAGTTGGCCCCGGGTTCACGGAGCCAATCAGCTCCTGCCCAGGGACATTTGTCAGCTCTGGCAGCACCCGCAGATAACCAGGGGGAGTAATTTCCAGCTAAAAATGTGTTTGTGGTGAAAGACAGCTATCAAATGTTCCACCTGGCTGGATAAACAGAAAGCACAGTTTATAAATATCTGTTCTGAAGGCGAAATTGCTCGATGATTAGCGCAGATCTTACGGTGGCACACTTCCAGCTTGGTTATTGATAAGAGGGTGCGTAGTGGGTTTTGGCTTGCTCGCTGTGACCAACATGGGAAAGCCTGTGGGGCTGCAGAATGGGAAGGGCACTATYCTGAACCAGGCCTTGTCCTGGCCATTTGGCACAGAAGGGCAGCATTGGCCAAGCTGAAAGCTACCACCATGCTGTGTCTTCTGGCACGTGCTTTTTAGGTTTCAACCTCAACCCCTCTGAACTAAACCTGTGCAAATGCAAAATAGATGAGTGACAAAAAAGAAAAAAAAAAAAAAGTATATTTTTTCCATGCACTCCTTACRCAGGTCTCTTTGAGACCAACTTTGTTATGAAGTGCTACAAGGGTGTGCATGATGTACAAACCCTCCTTCTCCTCACCTCTACTTTTGGTGGCATTGCTGGTCACCTACGCCCTTCCCAAGAAGGGTTCCTGCTGCTGCAGCCAGCCTGGCTCAGGCATTCACTGTGGTGGTGATGGCAGCAGCTCCCATCCCACTCCCCACTCTGCCCCAACCCAAACCATGGGAGCTGTCATGACTGGTGCATTATCACCAGAAATGCTTAAACCATCAGCATCCAGCCTTGGGCAGGAGCAAATCCTGGAGCCAGCAGGAAATAGACCCTTGCTCGCAGGCCAGGGAGCGGCAGTCGGATGCCACCCCATGGGGCAGCCAGCCCGTGTGCCTTGGCTCCCAGAGGAGAGATTTTGCCAGGTGCCTGGGGGCCTGACGCACACSGGACTGGGCTACATGCCCTGTGGGAGCGGGACCCGGCCCCTGGCAGTGCCAGGGCCCTTTGTCCATGCCGGTTCCCTGACGTCTCTGGGCACCCCCTGGGGATGTGGATGATGGGGCTCTCGTGTCTCCACACCAGCCATGAGCACGCAGGRCTCCCCAGTGCCGCCACAGGGATTTGTCCCTGGGGGTGCCCATGCCGCAGGCAGCACCCCCTGCCTCCCCAGCAGCTGCAGCCCGGCTTTGGCACACAGAAGCACTTTTGTACAATGGCCGGCAGCTTGCTGCTGCGGGAATGGACTGGTTCTGCAGTTGGACCTGCATCAGGAGCTGAACTCAGGTTTCCTTTCTAGGAGTGCAAGTGCAGGATGGTACCTGCCATAAAGAGTGCATGAGGGCCATCACWATTCCCAAATAGTGGAACCCAGTGGGATTTGTTCCATCCCTATCCATGATGCAGATCTCCACTTGGCTGGGAACACGATCCTGTTGGGAAGTGACCCTGAGCAGGGATCCTGAGGACTCCCAGCTGGGCATCCTGATGCAGGAGAGGAGTGGATGCAGCACTGCCACTGTGACAGCCCAACCTTGCCCTGGGAATGAGGCTGCCTGTCAGGGACACTTTGGGCTGCAGTACTGGTGTTCAAGACACAAGTCCAAGTTGTCCAGCCTTTTACTCACATGCCTGGCACAGGGATGCAGAAGCAAAGCCCTTATTACATGGGTGTGCATCTACAGCTAGTGATGCACAGACAGGGAAATTAGCGTTTTTAACCTGATTAACATTGCCTGGTGTGTGGTAARGCCATGGAAAGCACATTACCAAGGAATGGAAGATGTGGTGAAGTTATCACTGCTCATGTAGTGAAATTTCAAATCAACTCTACACAAATTGTGGCTGTAACCCCACAGCAATGTCCCTGAAAGTGATCTTTCATTTCTCAGGGGTACTTTGCAGAGGCTTTCCAAGTTAGCCTTGCTGTTCTTCCCTCCTTTCATGTGCATCTGAACTGGAATACCAAAACTTAACCCTGAGCATCATGGGCACCCATAGCCCCTCAGCCTCTCACAAAACACCGTGCTGCCCCACTGATGCCAGCAAATTCGGCAGCAAACTTTTTGTCACCAACAAGCTCAGTTCAGTTGCTTTATTTCATTTCATTTAGTTTCATTTCATTTCATTTCATTTCATTTCATTTCACTTCACGAGATTAAAAAAAAAAAAAAAAAAAAGCCTGGGAAGGAGCCAGTGCATGTGACAAGCCTGGCATTCCCTCTTGTGTGCGGTGGCTGCAGGGAGCCTTTGGATGCACCTTCCTGAGTGGGCTGGGGCAGGCAGGGGCAGCACCAGGGCTGTCCCCCGCTGCTCACTGGTTGTAGTAGTAATCCTGGCCATACACATCATATCCATGCCCCTTGTAGTAGCCATACTCATCCTCGTAGGCCCGGTAGGTGTCCCCGCGTGCGTACTCGTCCTGTTCCTCGTAGCCACCCTCGGTGGTGCCCTCATCCCCCCGGCCGTGGTCCCTGGCTGTCACATCATACTCCCACAGCTCCCCAGCTGTGGTGGCATCTGTAGTGGCATATGTGGTGACATCTGCAGGTCCTCCATCATCCACAGTTGTTGCCTGGGTCAGACCCTCTTCATTGGTGGTGCTGGCAATGGTGGTGACTTCGGTTTCCTCCTCCTCCTCCTCTTCCTCTTCTTCTTCTTCCTCCTCCTCCTCTTCCTCCTCTTCCTCAGCTTCACCAGTGCCCTCCTCAGCCACTGCAGTGCCATTTCCATGAGGTCCATCTGCCCCTTCTGTGGTGTTGGTGCTTGTGCCATTGATACCATTCTCATTCTCGTCTACYTCTTCCTCCTCTTCCTCCTCTTCCTCYTCTTCCTCCTCATTCTCATCGCTGTCCTCATTTTCAGAGTCTTCCCCCTTGCTGGCAGTCCTCTGCCTGATCCCTTTCAGGATCCCTTGGCAGCCCTTGCCCTGGCAGAGGGAAGACAGCACAGCATTACTTGGGTGTCAGGGGGCTGCAGTTCMACGTGGCAAGGGGCAGGCATGGGCACAGCTGAGCATCACCCCACACCTCACATGGCAGGACTGTCTTTTCCAACCCCAAGTTAATGTCCAGAGCTTGATCCAGCCACGGGTATTTCCACAGCAGCCCCCCAAGCAGAAATGGGGTTCAGGGCATCCCATGGGTRCAAGCAAACATGCAGTGAACAGACCCCTCCCCATGGGTGCTCCCTCCAGCTCCCCAAACCATACCTGCAGGGGGGATGTGACGTCTCCTCCCAGTGCACCCTCGCAGTCCCCAGGGGCTGCTCCAGCAGGGTGTCCAGCTGCCTTGGTGCCAGCATAAAATGGCTCCTGCAGGGACAGGGATGGGACAGGGYAGGGGGTCAGCAGCTGGAGTGGAGTGCAGCCCTCCCAGCAATGAGSGGGGTACGCAGCACCCACACACAGCATTTGGGCATTGCTCCAAGTTCCCTGCTTTCCCACGGCTCTTGTTCCAGGCTGAAATGGAGAAGCTGCAGCAGGGCAGCCGGAGCCGTGCAATTAAGTGGTGGTGGCTGGAGTCGGGTGTTCCCATTCTGGCTACACATTTTGCTTTGCAAAGCGTCTAAAGGTTTTCTTCTGAAGTCACCTCTCCCAGTTTCCAGTAAACAGRGAAAGCCACAGGCACACTACACGTGGACACACTGCACGTCATGTGTGGATGGTCAGTGAGAGGGTGATGACTCGGAGCCAGATGTGAGCCCAAACCCCACCAGCAATCACCATCAGCAATGTTTGGCCACAGGGATCAGCAGCAGAGCGGGGTTCTCAGTATTGTGCTTGGCTAAAAAAAGGCAAGGAATAACCCAAATGCAAGCAGAGCCTGGAGCAGCCCCTGAGGACCTGGTGGGGTTCACCCAGTGCCCAGCCTGGGAAGAAGGAGTTTGTGGCCACCAGCAAATGAGCCCAGCCACGGCAGGGAAAAGCAAGGTCAGTGMCATCCCTGCCCTGGGAAATCTCTGCTGCTTGCATACCAAGACCAAGGACACCCTGGTGTTTTGGGCCTGCTCAGACCTTGAAATATGGATGTATCTGATGGCAGAGAAAATCCAGGCTGTTCTCCTTTCCGATAGGAGAGCCATCAAATTGCACGGTGCAGCCAGCCGTGCTGATAGTAGCAATGCTCCCCATCCAGCAGCCGATATAACAGCGCTGGCTACATACCTATAACTGACCTTGGGGCCTTTCAGCMTGATTCCTCTTGCTGACCAGCCCTGCAGTGAAGGCACATCCCTGCATGGGAACAGCCACTGCTCTGGTGCCCTCAAAACAAAAACAGCAGACCAGGACAGCAGGTACATTCTTGCATAATTTCTTCCCGAGGAATGAAATTCCACCTTTTACTGCTCATCCCACTACTCAAATTTATCCTTAGAGATTGCAGTGGTAGGGGAGAGGAACAAGTGAAAAGGGGCAAATTGCAAAGAGGTGCCAGGGCTGGCACAAGGGCCACCTCATACTGTATCCCAACYCCAGACAGGCCTACAGATGGGGGTTTAAAATAAGATTCCCAGGCTTTCATTAAATARAATTWWAAAAAGAAAATAATAAAAGACTTGATGAGACCTGAYACACAGGTTTCCAAGCATACCAGATCCTTGTTTCAAAGCACCTGTGTGCCTGAGACCACTGGATTATTTTTGAGCATTTGCAGCCCAATGAGACAAAAGAGACTTTTATAACCCCTTGCATTTAATTTTGGRCCTGGGTGACTCTCAAAAATAGAGGTGTCCAGGCTCACATTGAGCCAGCAGACACAAGCAGCTTTACCATCTGACTTATAAACATGTCTTTCCCAAAATAGAATCTGTGTGTGCCTCTGCACACGCATGCATACAGAGCATAACTGTATTTTCCATAGCAATTTTCTCAGCACTATAGGGGCAACGGGCCCTGAAAGAGGAAGGTAAGAGGGATTCCTAACATGTTTTCTTCCTTTTGTGAACCTCCCTGCTTCKGTCCTTTGGCCTGTCCTGCTCCTTTCTAAGCCACTGAAAATGGAAACCCAGAGAGTTTGTCTTAGGGTTGTTTGGTGCAACCCCC